ATTATATATGTGTGTGTGTGTGTGTGTGTGTGTGTGTGTGTGTGTGTGTGTAAAAACTTCTAAAATGGCATCAAATTTAATAATTATAGCAAGGAAAGATATAGTTTAAGTGTGATGTATATAAATTCAAAAACATGTTAGGAAATATTTTCCTATATATGTTCCTTATACAAATATATGTATATACATATATAGTGTATATAGTGATTTTCTGATATTGCTAAAATGTGGTAGTCAAAGAAAGGGAAGAACATGGCCACCTATGGTGTATAAAAGCTTATGACACAGAACTTATAAGCACAGTAAAGTCCTAGAACGGAGAGGCAATGTACCGCTCGAGAAACAAGCTCTTCCATTGCTTTGGTAAATAAGCTAGGATCTAAAATAATACACTTGCAAAATAAAATCGATTCTATTCAATTATCTTTCTTATGCAAATACCACAAGATATTGTTTGTAAATTGCATGTAAAATAAACGTTATAATAAATTCTTGATGTACTTACTGTATACAGTGATCAATGGATTGCTGATATGCTTGTTGTATGGAGATGCGGAAGCGATTGTTGGAGTCGACGAGTGTCAGACGAAACGTGTGATACACTTCCTTCAATATCCAGGTTGTATCCCAAAGCCGATTCCCAGTTATGCATGTATAGGACGATGCAGCAGTTACCTACAAGTAAGAGGTGTCAGAATATGTTAGTAATGATTTCGTGAAATCCATACAGAAAAACATATCAATATGTCTCAATTGATAGTCTCATATAAATAGGATATATGATGCAAGAAACAATATACAGAAAAAGTTTTACGAACGTTTGAAAAATCTTTTAGAAATAGCTAATGTGGTATTGCAATTGATACTCACGCAGCATGTTGGGACATGATATCCTGCACGAACGTTTCTAAAGCCATGCAAAGATGCACTCTCTAATTTTAACGAAAATGATTTCGAGCGCGTTCAATGCAAGGTGTATAATACGAATACGCGTAAAACAAGAACGCTTTAGGAATACAAGTACGAGTCGCTGACCGATCTGATATTGCGGAATCGCGAGTATTAAGTCTGACGTTTGACAGAATCCATTATCTCTGTTTTCCTCCACTCTCCCTCTCTCTTTCTTTCACTCTTTATCTCGACGAGATAGAGAACGCTGGCGCGCACGAGAAAACATGTATGTAAATTTCGGTTTGTTGACATGCACAGGTGTCCGGATCCAAGATGTGGCAGATGGAGAGGAGTTGCATGTGCTGTCAGGAAAGCGGCGAGAGAGAGGCTAGTGTTTCTCTGTACTGTCCGCGGGCGAAACCAGGGGAGAAGAAGTTCAGAAAGGTAAGAGAGACCACTCTTCGTTTGCAGGCCGTGAACGCGATTCGGCTGATGCGGCGCCGATCGTTAACCGACGCGAACAAAATCGTGTAAACCGTGATCGCGTTATCCTGCTTACTCCTCGTTCTCTTTCAGACGATCGCACGCCGATAAAATCCGTAGCAAAGCCGTTCGACACCACGAGTTTCGTGCGGCCATGTTGTTTTCGTGCGCGGCCGAACGCGGCCAATCGGCGGCCGGCATGCGTACGCGGATCGCAGCGCCACGAACGCCGGCGCCAAATTTCAAACCGAAATGGAGATTTGATTCACGAAATTGTACGGCTGTATTATTCATACAAAGCTTGTTTTTAGTTGAATTTTTTGTACAATTTATCTTTCTTTCTTTTTTCACGTTGAAGAGAAAAAGAAAGATGAACTATGCAAGAAATTTATAATAAAAAAAAAAAATGTAAAAAATTATGTAAAAATTATATCGGAAAATAACAAATGCAAACTCGATGAAATTCTATCAATCGTTTTAAATTTATGCTATTTACGAATATCATATGAACAGAAAATGTGATATAAATAATTGCAAATCATAAAACATGGAGCATAAATTGTATACAGTCTCGCGTTAATTTTACCTATATTTGTCCATCTAGATGATCACCAAAGCGCCGCTGGAATGCATGTGCAGACCGTGCACCAGCGTGGAAGAATATGCGATAGTGCCTCAGGAAATCGCGGGATTTGCCGATGAGGGTCCCTTCACGACATCCGCACACTTCAGACGAGCTTCCGGCATGCGGTAAACAGCACATGAATCTTATTTGCGTAAATACAATCTTAAAATCGTCTCCAATATATGTCGATTTAATATATTTTATTTCAAATTATATTATGAGGACTAATAAAGAATATCTTTAATGAATACGTATATTTCTTTTCATTTTGCTCAACTTCCAAAAATTCATTTTTTTATTTCAATTCCACGAATTATATGTTCTCAAAAACATGATTCCCTAAATAGGAAAATAATTTAAATGTTAACAAAAAAGATTCTCGGTATTATAATGGGCAATAATAGGGCAAATGAGAATCAGCGTTGTAGACGGCGCGCAAATTACATTTTAATTCAGTTTATTAATAGAAAGTTCCAAACGTTTCGACTCAAATTTGAGTCACCTTCAGTGGCACGATAAAGCGAAGATATATCTTCGTATCCAGTCGATGAGCTCAACCATAAAAAAATAATGGTGTATCAATCATCACCACTGAAGATAATTCAAATTAATAAACTAAGCTAAAATTGAAAATGTGATTTACGCGCCGTCTAAGCGTTGATTCTCATTTGCCCTATTATAGAAATAATTTCTACATTTTTCAAGTATTTTTGTTAAAAATTTCACAAAAAATTTTTAAACACAACTGTAAAATAATTTGAATGTTTGACGTATTTATCGATAGTTTAATATTATAACGATATCCATATTAATGATAAAATATTAAATATATAAAAATATGAAAAAATTATAAAGTATTATGTACAATTTTAATTCTATTGATCAGAAAAGAAAAATTATATCGAGAATGTCAATTCCTTATTTGAGACAAATCGTTACTACCTACGAAATGATGTTTTGAATCCTGTATTCTGAGGAATCATCACAAAAAAAATCTTTTTTAGCTAGGTTGGGAAAGGAATACAGAAGAGGAAATGTTACAGGTAATAACAAACACTGTAACTCACATGTCCTAGCTGAGAAGAAATGATGAAACATTGCGGACTCTGTTAATGTACTTAAATAATAATATATATATTTACATACAATATATAGGTATGCTCCATGTAATTTTTCAATCAAGTCTGTATCGATTTGTCCGTATGTGTCTCGTATTTCGAAAATGGTTGATCGAAAGTTCTGACAGATGACGATTTTTTTTCTGGGAGACCAAAGCAAAGATTTCTATATATACCTTCGCAAAAGTATATATTCCGTAAGTCCGTACGTCTAGTCTCGCGAAAACATTCACGATTTCCCGAGTGTGGATACCTTTGCAGGTACGATAAATCGTGTGGTGTCGGCACTTTTTTAACGATTAGATGCCGGATAAACAATATTCTTTGATAGCTGTACACGCATACATGCACACAGAAAATCAGTCTCTCCTTATACGAGAACGTTCGAAACAAAGGTGAGCTCATGCTCTGTACCTCAAATCAGTTTAATAACAATTTTATACAATTCGCTACAGTGTTAGCCACGTAGGGATACATCCCAATATTTTCCCCACGCGCCGCGCTCTGATTCTCATTCGCTCTTTCTCTGTCTCTCGCTTTCTCTGTGATTATAAATAGCTAGTGTTAAAAAATAGTACCTTAATATGCACACCATTTGTAATCTTTCGTTTCCTAATTTCAACATGTTCTAGATTACAGATCCTAACTCCAATATATATCCTTCGCTCTATCCTCTTATCTCGTCGTGTTTCGCGAATGTTCTTTCTTATAATATAATACATTATAAGTTCTTATTTATAAAGGTTTCTTAATTTTGGCCAAAAAGATATAAAATTAGTAAATTCTGTATGTGTACACACACACACACATTACCCACACATATATGGTGTGTGTGTGTGTGTGTGTATATATATATATATATATATATATATATATATATTATATATCGTATTCCGTTACAATAGTAGGAAGAACCATATCGCTGTCAGTATCAGACTTGGTTTTACTCGGTAGTTGTTTTCCTTTCTTACTTTCCGAATTTGAATTCCGTTTAAAATTGACCTACCCTTTCAGATTGCATATTCCGATCTGCAATTTGTTATCTAAATCGTATAACAAGCACTTCGGTTTGTGATCCGTGATATTATAATTGCGTTAATATAATTGGAAGTAACATTGAGTCTTCCCTCCCAATTCCAGCATGGAAAAAGACGCATATTCCGGTTCTATTGAGCGATTGACCTACCTCGCTGTAGAGACATTTTACATAAGAAACACGATAATTATTTTTCGAGCCACTTTTTTTGCTTTATTTAAACTTTGAACCATTTTATTGAATTATATATAATAATTATTTTGCATAGTTCTGTAATAATTAATAGTTAAACTTTATCTTCATTATGTATACTGTATTTCAAATACAGCTGTCGTATTTATTTAGTCAGCACTCTCACTTCTCCATACTCATCGGTAGAGAGTCGTTGGAGTTATAGATTATATTACATACATTTACGTGTCACTTTATTGTTATTTATCGTACCGTTCCTTCCTTCAATACTTGGGAGCGTTCCTGCGTTTTTAATTTCTTTTTTGCGGAAAAAAAAAACACAACTGCAATTTGATTTCGGGCGTTGTATTTTCCTTTCAACGGGGAAACGCGTATTTGAGTCTTTTTAATAGACGATAATGCAATCGGTCACAGTATCGTCAACAGCCCTGATTCGCACTGGTTGACAATTCTTCGACACTAGAATTATCGTCTGGTTCTTGCAGGTCGGTGAAAAACGATGTGAGCGCGACGATTGAGACGCTATGGCCTTCGACATCCGCTCCTTCCGGTATCTTCTTTTGCCATGTCAGGAACGCATCGCTCGATATTACATTGTCCATCCACAATCGATTCATAATGGGAACGAGAGTACCTATCAAAATCACAAAGCTCGCTCAATTTTATATCCTTTATGTTTCTTATTTTGAAAAAGGAAAAAAATTATACAAAATAATCATGACAATATTTACGATAATACAATAATAAACTGATATGTTGATAACTGTAGATGTTTCCATGTACTTACCAGGCGGAAATTCGATTTTTTTAATATATCTTTGAATCGCATAAAGACACTGCAATTCCAGCAATTCGTTTGCGTCGACAAACCGTTGAATCAATGTTTGTAAACTCGCGAAAGTCTCTAGGTTTAGCTTCCAAGTGCCGTGATGTCGTTCTGTATATAATAGAAAAGTATAATTTAGAATTTAGATATTAATCATGGAACATTCTAAAACAATTCTTTTCATAAATCATGTCAGTATCCTTTTGGCTTAACAACACAAAGATATATTATATATATATCTTTCCTCTAAACAAAATGTATACATCATGTTCTTTGAGAAAAAGAAAAAAGGCGAGAAAAAAGAGAGAAAAAGAACACATACATACCTAATGTAGTTTCTAAAATGGCAGTCATTAAATGTCTTATAAACTTGGGATCCTTCTCTCTACTACCAACATTTGTCTGAAACAATGAGCTGACTGTGAAAAAACTATCGATACAAACAATATAAGGAAGTTATATATAATTTATATAATTATATAAGTTTACATCAATTATCAAACTTACAGTTATCCAGCTGCAAATTTCGTCGAAGGAAGTATTTTCTTTCATGAGCCTTGTAAGATTTTCTTGAATCTTTTCCAACGAAAGTTGATCGGTAGCAGTGGAGTCTTTGGCACTATTATAATCACCAGTTAGAAACTCCAAATTCTAAAAAGGATAATGAAATTGATTACAATTTTGATTAAAAAATAAATTAAAGAAAGAGAAAAAAAATATATTCATGAAAAAGTAATATGTGTATAAATAATAAAAAAAAAAATGAAAATAAAAAAAATAAAATAAAAAAAATAAAAAAAAAGGGAACTCAAACAAGATCCGGAAAGGAAAAGAAGAAAGAAAGAAAGGAAGGAAGGAAAAGAAAAAGTAAAATAACTTGAAAGAGAGAGACATGTAACAAGCTTTAATAAATTTCTGAAAGAATAGGAGTATAACACATAAATACAATTTTTTTTCATAGATAGATGGGAAATGAAGAATAGATAAAAAGATGACTCATTAATTTAGAAATAACATTTGATTCAATAAAGATATTAATAAAATATAAAAAGACAAATGAAAATGGAAAGGTCATTTAGAAGAAAAACATAAAAGTATAATAAAAACATAAGAACGATAGAAAAGTTTTAGACATTAAGATAAAGATAAAAAGACGTAAACAATACAAAACAAAAAAACAAAAAAAAACACAAGAGATATAAAAAAAACAAATAAAATATATACATACATATAAAATATAAATACAACTGTACATAATTATTTCCTAAATTTATGTATCAAGTTGTTTTAGTGTTTTGTTATGATAATGTGTGTTCATAATGATGAATGTTGTTGAATAAAACATATAACTTCGTTAATTATTTTGATTTTATCCAATATCCGATTAATATAACACAAGCAGAAAAATATTAGGAAAAGGAGAGAAAAAAGTTTTTATTTGTTGAGAAAAAATTCCCTCTTGAACAGAAAAAACTATATTATATGTAAAAAGCATTAATGCAAGAACATACACAAAAGCATCTGCGAGCGCAAATAAATATGAATGTATGAGTAGAAAACTATATAATATAATTTTGATTTTTATTATGAATATAATATAAAAAAAATATATACAAAATTATATTTTATGCCTACGTATGTACGTGTACGTGTATATGCAGGTGTTACAAGTGTTCATACAGATGAATGTATAAATGTTAACAAAACAAAATTACAAAAAAAGGGGGGAAGGAATAGTTAGTCTTTTTTAGTAGATTCTGTTTAAAGTCCATCTCTGCCACATTTAATAACATGTATTATATAATCTTTGACGAAGTAAAAAAACTGAAAAATTGAATCGAGGAATATGCTGATAATCGAATAAATATTATATTTTCGGAACTTCAATTATTTTTTTATATAAAATAATCATATTGCGAAATATTTTACTGAATATTGTGCACAGATATTTACAAAATTCATGCATTTTCAATCTTTTCAGTTTCTTTTTACTTATTAAGAAAAAAACGAACATGGTTATTTTAAATACATTCTATTCATTCACATTAATCAATGTCATTTATAAACAGCAAAATTTTAACGCAGAATGTATATCGACATTTTTTTCATTATTTGGTAAATCAAAATGTCGAAAATAATTTACAATGGCAAAGCAGGAAATCAAATTCGAATTTTGATATCAGTCTTTTGTTTATTTCTTGAAGCTTAATCTTCTTAATTTTTATGAATAATTAGCAACAATAACGTGTAATAATGTGTGAGCCGAAATAAAATATAATGTTTAAGATATCATTTTAAGAAGAAAAAACTAAAAGAAATGGGAGAATTGGAAAGATAATATGTTTGAATTAATTAAACTATAATAAAAATGAAAAAAATGAGGAAAGAAAATATCCATGTAATATGTACATTCATATATACAAAATTCATTTTCACGCCACACACACACACACACACACACACACACACACACACACACACGCACGCACAC